AAAGGCGGGCGGGACGCGGGAAAATGCATTGGAAGGCGGGTGTGTCCCGCCAAAAGCGGGACGTCTGGTCACCTTATTTTAATGACTATCTTATAGTTTACTAATTGGTAGGCAGGAATTCACTGTACATAATGTTAATTAATTTATTGCCACTTTTTGTTTATTTCTTGCACCAGTTTCCTCAATTCTCAGATTTTTTTCTCTCTCCTTTCCTCCTTGGAATGCATACAAGATATACTTGCCTCCAGATAATTTTTAGGGTTTTAATTCCCTTAGTTTTACTGGCACTCACTTTTTAAGGAAGATACTTTAAGTCTTGTCAGAAAAACAGCTTAATTCATTTTCCCTAGCCACACTTTGTCCTGAAATCTCCCTTCAGTAGCCAATAGATTTTTCTAACTCCATGTTTGCCATACCAGCTGCTAGCAACAACTCAGTGGACAAACAGTTGGTACAAATAAACAGTCTTATGATATAGGAAAAGAGGAAGGATGTATTCTGGTTTCTGATATCTACAGAAGTAATGTCTAAATAATTCCTTCCTCTTTTCTTTCTGAAGATGCAGCACAAAACCTGTGCTGTGTTGATGACGCTGCTCAACTGAAAATGTGTGTGATATGAAGCTGTAGTAATGAAAATTCAGGAACGTAATGAAAAAATGGGACTGAAATGAATAAAAAAGTATTTTCCCCAATTTAGCTTAAAAATTGTAAATAAATTGCTTTGTAGTTCAATTCTTTAATTTTCTGATCTATTTGAACACTTAACGTAATATCTAGCTATCTCCATTAATAAACCTATGAACAAAATATTTCTAAAACAGAATTAAAATGATTCTAAATAAAAAGATATTAACTATGAATAATTTAATGCATTACTTAATTAAAGCCCCCCCCACTTCCAATTTTACTGTAATTGAGGTTAGATTATGGTAATTACAGTTTTAGAGGGAAAACAGGAGATTTAAATAGAGCTTTTAAGGAAGCTATTGCAACCTAGGAGAAATGTACAGGTAATCCTCAACTTATAACCAATAATATAGCAGTGATTCAGAGCTACAACATTGTTGAAAAAAATTACTTATGTCCAGTGTTTGCACTTACAGCTGTCCCAGCATCCCCACAATCCTATGAACTGAGAGCTTGGCAACAAGCAAGTATTTATAACAACTGCAGTTTCCCAAAGTTATGTGATCACGATTTGCAACCTTCCCAGGTCAGCTTCCAACAAGCAAAATCAATTGGGTAATGCCAGATTCACTTAACAACCGTAGTGATTTATTTAACAACTGTAGTGATTCATTTAACAACGGTGGCAAAAAAGTTGTGAAATTGGGCACAACTCACTTTGACAACAACATTGTTTAGCAATGGAAATTTTGGGCTCAATTGTGGAAATTAGTTGAGAACTATCTGTATCTGTATTATTATTATTTGTAAATCATTCAATGTATTGAGCAATGGCTGTATATCCAATGTGATTGCATCAACATGGGTGCACACACCAACTTTAGTCCCTGCCAGTCATCTTTCCGATGTGCCTTTTTACATTTTAAAAATTGAATTCAAAAAGTGAGAAGCAAACATGCTTAAAAGCTAACCCCCAGCCTCTAGTTTTGTCTTTATTTCCAATAACTAATCTACGCTCCAATAAATTAATTTAATATATCATTATTAAATTAATACCCAGAAATTGTAAGAACCATCTGGGAGAGGGAGCATGAAGTGGTGGATGATCTGATAGGTCACTTTCTTAAAATGATTATATTATGTACAACTAGTTATACGTGCCATTGGCCAACCCCAATGAGCCAAGCAATTTTAGAAAATACCCGTAATGTTCTCAAAATTCCAGATGCCTTCCACTTCCTAAAGATCGGCCCATTGTCTCTTTGATTTCTATTTCAACTTCAATATTTTCATTGGCAGTCCTTTCTAGGGAATGTGTTTATTCTACTTTGGGAAAGCAGCTCTGAAAAACAAATACAATCATCATAATCTGTAAATTCTCATTCTGTTGCTTTTCAGCTGTTTATTTCACATAACCTATTAACTTTTCAACTTAGCTTTTTGTATAGTTTAAGAATGGCTTTTATTCAATTTTTGTTGTTGTTTAAATTATATTTGCATTTTAATTACAATGTTTTCTGTTTGAAGCACTTTTTTCACTTTTCCCTTGTTAGAAACAGGCACTGCCCTATTTCTAAGTATCATGAGTATTTTGTCTCAAAAATTCCCAAAGGGGGGGAAAATGGCTGGAGATGCAACTGGTTGCTGCTTAAAAGAAACAAGGCAGGTTATCAGGCCTCCTTCAGAATCAGTATAGGTAGTCCTTGATTTACAACAGCTCATTTAGTGACCGTTTGAAGTCATAACAGCACTGAGAAAAGTGACTAGTGACTATTTTTCAGACTTCTATAGCTGCATTCCCCATGGTCATGTGATCAACATTCAGATACTTGGCCATTGATTCATATTTATGACGTCTGCAGTGTTCCAAGGTCATGTGATCCCCTTTTGCAACCTTCTGACGATGGGGGAAGACAGATTCATTAGTAACATGGCTAAATGTTACTAATTTAATAACTGTGGTGATTCATTTAACAACAGTGGCAAGAAAAGTGGTAAAACGGGGACAAAATTCACTTAACAAAGGTCTCACTTCGCAACGGAATTGTTGGGCTCAACTTGTTGGTCGTACGTCGAGGACCACCTGTAGGCAAAGAGTGCCAAGCAACGGGCCATTCAGTCATTAACCAACCCGTCGGTTTTTTTCAGCTTTCTTATTTGACATCGAAAAGGAAATCCCTCTTCCGTGCAGGATGACGATCGGCCTGACAAGGACAAAGCTCATCGGACTTAACGGCCTGCAAAAACGAGATTGTTCTCTCGCCAACCCGCCCACGCGCCTCTTCGCCGACCAGCCGGAACGCTTTGAAGCACCGCGCTAGGGAAGAAAACGGGCGGAGGGAATGCGCACGCGCACATTCCACGAGGGTGGGAGGGGTTGGGATATTTCCCCCCCCTCTCTTTTTTTTTTTTGTTGTTTCCTCCCTCCGCAGTATTATGAGGTCAGCGCGAAGGGACGGCGTGCCCTATGACGTCACCCTCCGTACCTCCCCGCTTCCTCCAATCCAGGCCTATGGAAGGAGCGGAGCAAAGGTAGAGAAGCAGCAGTTGGTTTCTTCTCCTACCAAAAGGGGGAGTGGAGGGGGGTGGGGGGCGGCGGCGGAAGGGAAGGAAGGAAAGACCCGGATGCTGCCGCCGCCGCCGAGGGAGAGAGAGAGCGAGCGAGAGAGAGAGAGGCTTAAGCGGGCCAGAGAAGGAGGGAGTTGTGCGCACGCCCAGCGGCGGCGGCGGCGGCGGCTGTTCGCCTCGCCGTCTGAGGGCGGAGCGGGGAGGGAAAGACGGCGCCGAGTTTAGCACCCTGACTTGAGCGCGGGGGGCCCCGGTGGTTTTCCGCAGGTCGTCGTTGTCGTCAAGATGGAGGAGGCGGGGATGGTTTCGCCGCTGCCGGATACGGCGTAAGAAAGGTGGGAAGCTGTCGGGGGAAGCCGGCGCGTTTGGTTCGAGGCAGCGAAGGGCGCCCGAGGCGAGGCGATGCTGTCGGTCTATGGCATATTGCTGTCAGCTCTGCTGGGCTCCTTCCTCACGCTGCTCGCCCAGCTCCTGATCTTTTACCGGAGGCAGCCCGAAGCCGTCCCCGGGGTGTCCCGGCTTCGCGGCTCTAACTTCTTTGTTACCAGAGTAATGCCGGACTCGACCCTCAAGGAGTATTTAACCGGCTTCCTCGTCTTGGGGCAGGAAGCGTTTTTCCCCGGATCTTTAATCAGCCAGCCTTCCAAAACCGAGCAGAGCTTCAAAGCCCCCGACCAGGAATCGCCCCCTTTGGTGGAATGCACGGAGGAGACCCTCTACTGGCTCAATGCCATCTGCCTCTTTCTCTTCAGGGAACTCAAGGACACCTCCTTGCTCCGCCACTGGGTCACCAGGAAAATCAAGGTGGAATTCGAGGAGCTTTTGCAGACCAAGGTGACCGGCAAAGTGTTGGAGGGGGTCAGCTTGCGGGATGTCTCCTTTGGCAACGTCATCCCCCTTTTTAAAAACATCAAGATATTGCGGCCGGTGACGTGTAACGAGGAAGGCTGCCCCGAGGAGCTGGACTTCGAAGTTGACATGGAGTACGAGGGGGGCTTCCACTTAGCCATTGATGCGGACCTGGTTTTTGGCAAGTCGGCCTATCTGTTTGCCAAAATCTCTAAAATCATGGGTCGGCTGAGGCTGGTCTTCACCCGTATACCCTTCACGCACTGGTCCTTTGCTTTTGTCGACGAACCTTTGATCGACCTTGAGGTCAAGTCGCAGTTTGAAGGGAGACCCTTGCCCCAACTGACTTCCATCATTGTCAATCAGTTCAAGAAAGTGATCAAGCGCAAGCATACCTTACCTCACTATAAAATCAGGTAAGTTGTTTTGGATTGAGGAGATCAAGTTGACATTGTCGTGCTTGGGTAAAACGGGTGGGAATGGAAAAGAATAGATCACAGTTGGGGGATTAATCTGAAGAAGTTTGGTGAGGACAGTGTGAAGTGTAACAGAAGTGTCTTCTGGAAAAGTGATACATGAGGAAATTATTCAACTTTGCTGTCAGTGTATAATTCGCCATAAGAAGCCATGCACATTTTCTGAAGAAAGCTCAAATCTCACATCATTGTGGACTTTGATAGTGAATAAGATGCTCAATTTTTATACCCACCTTAGTCATTACCCTATTCCCTTTCTTGGAAGCAGCATTAGGAAGAGATCATAAAAGGAGTAAGAAATAATAAGCCAAAGGAATTAATACATGAATTAAAAAAGAGAGGAGGAAATATACCTAATTTTCACCATACTAATTTTCAGTACATCTCCGTTTGGCAAAGCCTTATTTCACCTGATCCATCCTTGCATTTTTTAAAATTATATACAGGTAGTTCTCAACTTACAACAATTGAAACCAAAATTTATGTTGCTGAGACATTTTTTTAGTGAGATTTGTCCCGTAGTATGACCTCTCTTGTCACAGTTGTGAATCACTGCAGTAGTTAAGTTCATAACACGGTTGTTGTGCACTTGGCTTCATCATTGAGTTTGCTTGTGAGAAGGTTACAAAAGGTGATCACAGGACCCTGGGACACTGCAACCATCATAAATAGTCAGTTGTCAAGTATCTGAATTTTGATCATGTGACCATGGGGACGCTGCAATGGTGGTTAATGTGAAAAAGCAATCATTTTCCCCCAATGCCATTGTGACTATTCTAACTTCAAATCGTCACTGTAAATGAACTGTTTCAAGTCAAGGATTACCTGTAATTGTTTTTCAGAATTTCAGCAATTCCATACAAGTACAACCTTTAGAATTTTTCTTGACCCATTTACTCTTTCTTCATAGATTTGTTTTGAAATATTATATTTATTCCTTTCCTTCATATCAACAAATCACATCAAAGTTCTCTATTCATATTGGTCACTGCTATCAGATTCCTGCCTTGAGCAGAGGATTGGACTAGAACAGTGTTTCTCAACCTTGGCCACTTGAAGATATCTGGACTTCAACTCCCAGAATTCCCCAGCCAGCATTCGCTGGCTGGGGAATTCTGGGAGTTGAAGTCCAGACATCTTCAAGTAGCCAAGGTTGAGAAACACTGGACTAGAAGATTTCTGAGCTAACTATATTCACCTCAGTTTTATACAATATCCGTCCATTCAGCTGAGAATGATAGCATTGATTTCACTTAATCTTTGACAATTCCAGGATGAAGCTTATATGACCATCTGGTTCTCCTTGGTATTGATTATGAAGTTCTTCTGGATTGCTGGAGGATTTGAGAATGGGAGGGTCAGTGTTGCAATGGTTTTCCTTCTTTATACATAGCTAGTTTTTACATAGGCTCCTTCTTTACGGGGTGCCTCAGCACTTGACTCTCTTGCCTCCTGTTTAACATTTATATGAACCAGTTATTTGTTGAAACAAGGTCAGTTACCATCAGTATGATGATAGGTAGCTTAGCCTTGGCTGAGTGAGTAATGAGGTTGAGGTTTTGTGCCTAAAGATTGTTGGAGTCTGGATGGGGTAGCTATGGTTCATGGTTCTTCATATGTCAGAGTTTCTCCATTTATAGTTATAAATAATGTTGCACTTCCGTAGACAGAACTGGTACAGAATCCTGGGCTCACAGCGTCTCAAAGAGCAGGTGACAATTGTGTTAAGCTGGTGCACCACTTTATACTCTTTTATGGACTAAATCTCTTCTCACGGTATTAATGTCTCAGGCATCTTACCAGGATTGTGGATTGTTGCAATGGGCTTCCTAGAACACCATTCAGAAGCTAAAACTGGTCGAGAATGCAGCAACAAAAACAATTATGGACAAATTTCAGTATAACCATGCAATATTGCTGGTAACTTACGAGCATGCAGATAGAATTCAAAGTGTAAATAGGATAGGGTGTGGCTTTCTGAGGAACCATCTCTCTCCCATGCTCTTTGCCTGTCCTGTAACATCTAGCAGAGTGATGGGCTTTATTTCCCACCCATTAATCATTGTCCTCTAATGAGACGTAAGTGTGATCTCTGTTTTGGTCTTTGGAATAGCATCCCCTGGAGGTTTGAACTAAACTTAAGCCTTCAATTTAAACAACTTTTGAAAAACCTTTTCCCCCAAGCTCTGGATTAGTTCAGGGATCCAAGTATTTTTCTGTTAATGTTGCATGCTTGTTTCTGTTACGCTCATTATCTTTTGCTTGATTTTAGATCATGTGCTTGTTTTTTTTTAATTTGTACAACATCCACAGTCAGTGTTGAATTGGCTATAAATAAAACAAATCAGCATATAAAATAGGCAGCTCTCTCACATGATGGAGTTATGGAGCTGATGTATTACCGTATTTTTGGAATATAAGATGCACTTTTTTCCCTCAAAAAAGAGGCTGAAAATCTGGGTGTGTCTTATACACTGAATACAGCATTTTTTTTGCCTCCTGAAACTTCGCCGCTTCGCCAAAATGGCCATGCATAGCTTATAGGAGGCTTTCAGAGAGTTCCTGGGGGCTGGGAAGGGCAGAAATGAGTAAAAAATGGAGCGTTTTTTGTTCAATTTTGCCCCCCCCAACGCCCTAGGAGCACTCTATAAGCTTCCTAATGCCCCTTTTTGTCAAAAAACGGGCCTGTTTTTTGCTCGTTTTTGCCCCCAACCCCACTCCTCCAGGAACACACTATAAGCCTCCTAAGAACTATTCATGCCCTTTTTCTGAGAAAAAATGGGCCCATTTTTGCGAAAAACGGGGCATTTCTGGGAGGTTTGCAGAGTGCAAAAACTTTTTTTTAATTTGCCTCTTCAAAACCTTGGTGCGTCTTATACTCCAGTGTGTCTTATACTCTGAAAAATACAGTACTTTAAGAACCTTACACTAATAAGAAAGTAAGGGTCTTTTGCCAGTAATTATATGCAGTCTTCAATATAAATTCAGACCCTCATTGTCATAGTGGCTACCTTGAAAAGTGCTAGGAGAGGTTTGATCATGTCATATACCATATGTGACACTGAACTGTGGCACACTACTATTAGCAGCCTAAATCTTGCTACTCACAGTACTGTTGTTTGGTTTCTATACCAATATTTTAGAATAACTTTCCCCCACAAATTTGATCTGCCCCCTTTGCAGTGTGCCTTCCATAAGTCAATGTCGGCTGAGAAATAATTTTGATTTTGCAGATCCTTGAAAGGGTCTTGTGGGACTCCCAGTGGTCCTACGACCACACTTTAAGAAAAACTACTGTAAACTGTTAAAAACCGAGCTTTTTGAGAAAGCCTTGTTTGTTCTTGTTTTATTATTTTTTTATTAATAAATGTAAACTAATAGTTTCTTTGAATGAAGGTAGGATGATACATCCAATAAATACACGCATCTCTGAACAAAACATAAAACATGGGTTAACTGATGTCGCTTTGACAAAAGTGAAACCTACTTTTCACTTATCTTTGGTGGGAGTTCTTTTCTATATGCAGTTACGGATTGCTAGACAAGTTAAAGAGTTTGTAACACGCTTGAGCAGGAAAAGGCTTTAGAATATTACATTTTAATTGGACCAGTGTAAAATTTTATATTTTTTGAATTAGAACTAACATAGCAAAGTTAACATCCAACTTTTCCTCTAATATGTTTGCACAGGTCTTGTGAATTCTTAAAATTCTTAAAAGTATTTCTGCATTTTTTCTAAAGATTAATGCTTTAATCCAGAATCAAATCTTGTATATTCAAACATAATTCTTACTTGAATAGCATTTGTGGTGATTGCCCAATTTCAATAAATACAAAGAAATCCTCTTTTAATAATAGATATGTAGGTTTTACAAATATTCTGTGTATATGTAAATGAAGAAAAAAACCTGCTTGATTAACTATAGACAATTTTGTAGGCAGTCCAAGTGGTTCTTTAACCAAGTATGCTCAAAAGTGGAAGGCTACTTTGCATATTCTAACTGGGAAGGAATTTATTATTTATTTATTTCTAATACAAATCTATATGGCTGCCCAACTCATGGATGGGTGATTCCAGGTGGCTAATATTAAAAATCCACTCCTTTCCCCAAGGTATGCTCCTAATTTCTTTCCCTTAGAAATCACACAGAATAAAAGCAGGACGGTTTCATGGCTGCTGTAATCCTATGGAACAGATTCCCCCCAGATTAAAATGTCTCCCTCCCTAATATCTTTCAAGAAGGAGATTAAGACCATGCACAATGTATTTTGCTGCCTAGGGGTTTGGTTATGAAGGCTATTATACTGTACATATTGTTGGGTTAAAGCTTTTATGATTCATTATTTGATCTGCCAGGCATACAAATGTTCTTAAATAGGTAAGTGGGGCTGGATAATATCTAGCTTTTCTGAGTAGAAGATCTTTGCAGTATTTTTGTAACAGTACAGTAGCAACTGAAAACTAGAATACACTAAAGTGGGGAACTTGTCACACTCCAGATGTTGAACACACACAATGTTCCAGAGCTCTTGCTAGCANATTCTGGGAGTTGAAGTCCAGACATCTTCAAGTAGCCAAGGTTGAGAAACACTGGACTAGAAGATTTCTGAGCTAACTATATTCACCTCAGTTTTATACAATATCCGTCCATTCAGCTGAGAATGATAGCATTGATTTCACTTAATCTTTGACAATTCCAGGATGAAGCTTATATGACCATCTGGTTCTCCTTGGTATTGATTATGAAGTTCTTCTGGATTGCTGGAGGATTTGAGAATGGGAGGGTCAGTGTTGCAATGGTTTTCCTTCTTTATACATAGCTAGTTTTTACATAGGCTCCTTCTTTACGGGGTGCCTCAGCACTTGACTCTCTTGCCTCCTGTTTAACATTTATATGAACCAGTTATTTGTTGAAACAAGGTCAGTTACCATCAGTATG